TATACATGTACTTAGTACTTTATAACCGAAACACTCGATGAGGTGCTCTATTTCTACCATAAAAAAACCAAACTAATTTGCGTTAGGTAACAGAATTGGTGAAGTGGCTTTGGTGGTGAAATTGTAATGTAAGAAAGGTTACCGATTTGAAATAGTTAACGACATTCGCCGATATGCAAAGTTTATCGCTGCTTTTAGACAAATGTTATTCTTCGTCAATGTATTTTACTCGTTTTCCTGAAAGGGCATTAATAGTATGCCGCACAGCGATTTGTAAGCAAAAGCCATGAACATGAAACGAACCAAGCCAGATTAAGATAAAAATAAAATCAGCCGCTAACCACTTTAAGACGTCGCAGTGTTTTATAAGGTAGTCGCAACATCATGTAGCCTGTGGACTAACATTAGTATTTACAGCTGCTATAGATCAGTTGTCTGTGGGTCCAATTACCAACATCAGTATTTACAGCTGCTACAGATCTGTTGTCTGTGGGTCCAGTTACTAACATCAGTATTTACAGCTGCTATAGATCAGCTGTCTGTGGGTCCAGTTACTAACATCAGTATTTACAGCTGCTATAGATCAGTTGTCTGTGGGTCCAGTTACTAACATCAGTATTTACAGCTGCTACAGATCTGTTGTCTGTGGGTCCAGTTACTAACATCAGTATTTACAGCTGCTATAGATCAGTTGTCTGTGGGTCCAGTTACTAACATCAGTATTTACAACTGCCATAGATCAGTTGTCTGTGGGTCCAGTTACTAACATCAGTATTTACAGCTGCTATAGATCAGTTGTCTGTGGGTCCAGTTACTAACGTCAGTATTTACAGCTGCTATAGATCAGTTGTCTGTGGGTCCAGTTACTAACGTCAGTATTTACAGCTGCTATAGATCAGTTGTCTGTGGGTCCAGTTACTAACATCAGTATTTACAGCTGCTATAGATCAGTTGTCTGTGGGTCCAGTTACTAACATCAGTATTTACAGCTGCTATAGATCAGTTGTCTGTGGGTCCAGTTACTAACATCAGTATTTACAGCTGCTATAGATCAGTTGTCTGTGGGTCCAGTTACTAACATCAGTATTTACAACTGCCATAGATCAGTTGTCTGTGGGTCCAGTTACTAACATCAGTATTTACAGCTGCTATAGATCAGTTGTCTGTGGGTCCAGTTACTAACGTCAGTATTTACAGCTGCTATAGATCAGTTGTCTGTGGGTCCAGTTACTAACGTCAGTATTTACAGCTGCTATAGATCAGTTGTCTGTGGGTCCAGTTACTAACGTCAGTATTTACAGCTGCTATAGATCAGTTGTCTGTGGGTCCAGTTACTAACATCAGTATTTACAGCTGCTATAGATCAGTTGTCTGTGGGTCCAGTTACTAACATCAGTATTTACAGCTGCTATAGATGTTGTCTGTGGGTCCAGTTACTAACATCAGTATTTACAGCTGATATAGATGTTGTCTGTGGGTCCAGTTACTAACATCAGTATGTACAGCTGCTCTAGATCAGTTGTCTGTGGGTCCAGTTACTAACATCAGTATTTACAGCTGCTATAGATCAGCTGTATGTGGGTCCAGTTACTAACATCAGTATTTACAGCTGCTATAGATCAGTTGTCTTTGGGTCCAGTTACTAACATCAGTATTTACAACTGCCATAGATCAGTTGTCTGTGGGTCCAATTACCAACATCAGTATTTACAGCTGCTACAGATCTGTTGTCTGTGGGTCCAGTTACTAACATCAGTATTTACAGCTGCTATAGATCAGTTGTCTGTGGGTCCAGTTACTAACATCAGTATTTACAACTGCCATAGATCAGTTGTCTGTGGGTCCAGTTACTAACATCAGTATTTACAACTGCCATAGATCAGTTGTCTGTGGGTCCAGTTACTAACATCAGTATTTACAGCTGCTATAGATCAGTTGTCTGTGGGTCCAGTTACTAACATCAGTATTTACAGCTGCTATAGATCAGTTGTCTGTGGGTCCAGTTACTAACATCAGTATTTACAACTGCCATAGATCAGTTGTCTGTGGGTCCAGTTACTAACGTCAGTATTTACAGCTGCTATAGATCAGTTGTCTGTGGGTCCAGTTACTAACGTCAGTATTTACAGCTGCTATAGATCAGTTGTCTGTGGGTCCAGTTACTAACGTCAGTATTTACAGCTGCTATAGATCAGTTGTCTGTGGGTCCAGTTACTAACATCAGTATTTACAGCTGCTATAGATCAGTTGTCTGTGGGTCCAGTTACTAACATCAGTATTTACAGCTGCTATAGATCAGTTGTCTGTGGGTCCAGTTACTAACATCAGTATTTACAGCTGCTATAGATGTTGTCTGTGGGTCCAGTTACTAACATCAGTATTTACAGCTGATATAGATGTTGTCTGTGGGTCCAGTTACTAACATCAGTATGTACAGCTGCTCTAGATCAGTTGTCTGTGGGTCCAGTTACTAACATCAGTATTTACAGCTGCTATAGATCAGCTGTATGTGGGTCCAGTTACTAACATCAGTATTTACAGCTGCTATAGATCAGTTGTCTTTGGGTCCAGTTACTAACATCAGTATTTACAACTGCCATAGATCAGTTGTCTGTGGGTCCAATTACCAACATCAGTATTTACAGCTGCTACAGATCTGTTGTCTGTGGGTCCAGTTACTAACATCAGTATTTACAGCTGCTATAGATCAGTTGTCTGTGGGTCCAGTTACTAACATCAGTATTTACAACTGCCATAGATCAGTTGTCTGTGGGTCCAGTTACTAACATCAGTATTTACAACTGCTATAGATCAGTTGTCTGTGGGTCCAGTTACTAACATCAGTATTTACAGCTGCTATAGATCAGTTGTCTGTGGGTCCAGTTACTAACATCAGTATTTACAACTGCCATAGATCAGTTGTCTGTGGGTCCAGTTACTAACGTCAGTATTTACAGCTGCTATAGATCAGTTGTCTGTGGGTCCAGTTACTAACATCAGTATTTACAACTGCTATAGATCAGTTGTCTGTGGGTCCAATTACCAACATCAGTATTTACAGCTGCTACAGATCTGTTGTCTGTGGGTCCAGTTACTAACATCAGTATTTACAACTGCTATAGATCAGTTGTCTGTGGGTCCAATTACCAACATCAGTATTTACAACTGCTATAGATCAGTTGTCTGTGGGTCCAGTTACTAACATCAGTATTTACAACTGCTATAGATCAGTTGTCTGTGGGTCCAATTACCAACATCAGTATTTACAGCTGCTATAGATCAGTTGTCTGTGGGTCCAGTTACTAACATCAGTATTTACAACTGCTATAGATCAGTTGTCTGTGGGTCCAATTACCAACATCAGTATTTACAGCTGCTACAGATCTGTTGTCTGTGGGTCCAGTTACTAACATCAGTATTTACAGCTGCTATAGATCAGTTGTCTGTGGGTCCAGTTACTAACATCAGTATTTACAACTGCCATAGATCAGTTGTCTGTGGGTCCAGTTACTAACATCAGTATTTACAGCTGCTATAGATCAGTTGTCTGTGGGTCCAGTTACTAACATCAGTATTTACAGCTGCTATAGATCAGTTGTCTGTGGGTCCAGTTACTAACATCAGTATTTACAACTGCCATAGATCAGTTGTCTGTGGGTCCAGTTACTAACGTCAGTATTTACAGCTGCTATAGATCAGTTGTCTGTGGGTCCAGTTACTAACGTCAGTATTTACAGCTGCTATAGATCAGTTGTCTGTGGGTCCAGTTACTAACATCAGTATTTACAACTGCCATAGATCAGTTGTCTGTGGGTCCAGTTACTAACGTCAGTATTTACAGCTGCTATAGATCAGTTGTCTGTGGGTCCAGTTACTAACGTCAGTATTTACAGCTGCTATAGATCAGTTGTCTGTGGGTCCAGTTACTAACGTCAGTATTTACAGCTGCTATAGATCAGTTGTCTGTGGGTCCAGTTACTAACGTCAGTATTTACAGCTGCTATAGATCAGTTGTCTGTGGGTCCAGTTACTAACATCAGTATTTACAGCTGCTATACACCATAACTAGAGGGACGGGCATTACCTACAGCCGTATGCAAGTAGTAGCATCTATTCATGTAACTTCTGTGTGGGCACAATCAGTTCATTTAGCATTACATGCATAATGTACGGACGCAGTTACACAAATACAGCCCGATATCTTCTACAGGAAGATGTATAATAAGGTCATTTCTTCCACTTGTAACTTTGATCTATGACATGATAAGTAAACAAGCATTGCTACAATATGTGGAAGGGACGAGTTTTTAAACAGCACGATGAGAAAATGCCCGTGATCTAAGAATGTCTTTTTCACCGCATGTTTGGACTGTGACCTATAAAATACATATTCTCAGGAATATGGGCGGCCATTCGGTCAAACCATACATGAAAGGACACTGTTATGACAAGTAACCTTTTGACCCACCCAGTCTGCAGTATATGAGAAATGAGTAAAGTTTGTCAGATACTTGAACATAAGCCATTCTTCGACATCAGCTGATTTCTGTATGGGCGGCCATTCGGTCAAAAAACACAAAGTTGAAATATAGGACAAAAGTACGCAAAAAAAGTCGAATGTTACGAATTAACTATTATATGTTACTAATTAAGGTCAAAATACAAAACAAACAGACGCCTGTTAAAATATACAAAGTTGAAATAAAGGTCAAAAGTAAGCAATATAATAGTCAAATGTTACGAAAAGATGTCATGTGAAAAGAAAGAACAATGTGTACTAAAGAACGTCAGTGCGAACGAAAGGACACTAAATTGCTTTTGGGCGTTGACAATAAAGAACGCCAGATGGCGCTGCAATATGTCAGTACACCAAAATGAAACCATTCATCGTTTTAACCACAGGTCTGTCTAACAATGTAGAATCTTAATTTAAGTATACATTATTCATTTTGTCGTATAAATCTGTGTATATTATTCCCGTTCGAAGATATCAGACTTACCCTCTAAAAGGACCAAAGTGAAGAATACTCTTGGTGCCATGGTTAGTCAAGTGCCTACCTACACATGATATCACTCCGTGTCTTCAGCTTCCATGCGCGTTGCAGGGTTCCCCGCGCAAGAGCAACACACCCTTTAGGTTAACAAGATTCAGTCAAAGCAGATGATGGAACAAACCATTTAATCAGTATCGGGTGATGTGATCGATATTTCATAATAGTCAATGTATACTGCATTCACTGTGTGGTGCCCAGGGAGTTAGACCTGTTTCCCGAGTAGGTGACAGGTTGATCACCTGCGTCTATTGAGGGGAGTCAGTTATACAAATAGACGCGAGGCTGGCGTGTTAATGTAGACTGAAGCTTTTAGGATTGTGAAAGCAAGCATGTCCACGTGATTTGGTTTTTTTCAGGGTCGTCTGTGTTTTGGGAACAATACATAATCGCTTGCTCCCACGGGGATGTGTGTTACTTAAAGAGACACGGTTTAATTGGACAATTAAAACAGACGTAAGGAGAAATTATGATACAATAATTTTGTCAAGCTTCAAGCAGTCACTATCCAAGTTTATACGTTGTTGAAGGAGTAACCCTCAAGTTACACCAATACCACTTTGTTCTGTGACAAATGCACATGATATCAAGCTTATTATCTACTTTCGGGAATTAATATTTAATGGATAGATAGACAATTCACCACGAGCGTTGTTTAATGTTAGGTATCAACCAAGTCATGGTAAATATGTAGTGGCCGAGGCGTTTGTGAAGGAATACGGATTAATGGGATGATGTTGCTATCAACCATATAAACACGAGTGGTGAATTCATTTTTTTTCAAATTCACTTTTCTCAGTTTAACATCGAAATTGTTGAAATCTTACGGCCCATTATACGTACAGAAGTGACATTTATTCATTAGCTGTATGAAGAATAACATACAGCCAGTTAACCTTTGCCGAGAACTAAGTTTCTTGAACTATTTGATTAAAAGTATAATGGATAGAACTGTTGTAGCATACTTGAAAGTTTGATAACAATAACAGCAACATCATTTGATTGAATCCGTTGAATAATTTCACAACTGTAGTCACACGAATCAGACCACGTTCTCATTTGCGGAATGTGACGCGGGCGGATAAGTCACAACAATGCATTTTCGTCGGTGTCACTGTCATTTGGGTTTGAAATATGGCATCGTTTGACAGGAATCGGTATCGGGGTTTTTACAAGATTAATCGTAATATATCCATCAGTCAGTAACATTACCAGCAAACATAGTGTTGACACCAGCAAAACATCGATAAGTTGAGATTGCTGACAGTTTGCCTGGCACCATGAACATTACGTTTGAGCACGCGATGTAAGTCGAGTGTCTTGTGAAATTCAAGCTGGTGTTACTGTGGTGGATATTTTCCTTTGCTGATGAGTCTTTGTGTGACAATAATTATCCACAGAATGGATGTCATTGTGGCCAGTTATGGTTTCATTTGGAGGAACATTGTTGTCATTCAATTTTTGGACAAGGTCTTTACAAGCAGATATGTGTCTTCTCTGACCAGAAATCTCGACCCAAACCATTATTTGCCGCCTCCAAATGCTCTTAATACAGATCAGCGGGTATACTGCAAATAGAATTTCACATACATGAAGGCAATAGAATTTGTAAATTCCTTAAAAAAATTGTACCATAATCTAATGAAACTGAAATAATACGAATGGTTATATGGACATTATATTATTGTGTCTTAAGGTTAACAAATGGAGGACATAACCAAATTTTAAGTATCAGTGACAAAGATTATGTGTGACGCATTTCTCTATTTCGACTTGTATCATATTAACGTCGCTGTGCGCTATCAAACTACACTGAAGATAACAGAAACTTTATCAAATTCATATTAATTAGAATTCAAATTCGAACAGCAAATAATGTTCCAAAATCATGTAAACCAATCTTAGAAATGCAACGAACACGGTTGAAACTGAAAATGTTGCTTTAGTTCCGTGTGAAATGTTAAAATTGGAAAGGCACGTGCAGCTGCATCACACGATGCGTATGAGGATAAATAGAGATCACAGTATTCAATGGATATGGCGTCCAGAAATCAACAGTAACATGCCACGCTTATCGGCAGAACAGAAAGAATATGAGTTGGGCTTTTTACACCGCTTTGAACAGTATTCCAGTTATATCACGGGGTGTCGGCTTACTGTGAGAGGAAAGCCCGAAGTGATGAAGGTCTCAGACGTTTACCATTTGGGTGAAACCCACGAGCACGGGTATGGTGCTGATAAACCCACAAACAAAATCGAGGCGAACAGGTAATCGAACCAATGGCATTGATTTCTGGCCTGACCAAGGGACGCAAATCTGCACAGTGAATTGCATCGCCTTAGACGACGACTGGGTGCCCCGTGCCCCAGAGCAAAGGGGCATTGGTTTGATGCAGACATGACATGATGCAGTTCTAACAACGATTTAAGTATTTTTAATGATAATTCGAAAACATATTTACATCCTGGTACAGGCACATATTCTTCTCTTGATTTATGACTTACAGACTCAGATCTGATAAGTGAATTTCGAATGGTCATTCCATGACGACCTCTGTGGGTGGGACCATTTTCCGACTATTCTTCCAAACATTAACTCTATCTGATGTTCCTCCATCATCAAGATGGAACTTCACTGGAGCTAACTGTTCGAGTTACTCTGTACAAGCTAGTTAAATCATGATCGTTTTATGGATGTTCCTGATTTAATAACATTGTTCTCTGATGAACTTAACAAATATCTCATGAATGTATTACAAAATTATCTGCAAATCCACACATCCGTAAACCGTAGTTTAATGGTACTTGGAAATAAGTTAGAAGGCACGGAGCATTATTTACGTCGCCACCCTATGTATACAAATTAAATAAATTCAAAATTTTTAATACTAAAACACGGCGTACATTTAAACCTAATAAACCGATAGTCTTGGCAAACTTATGTTGCAAAAATACATTTACGGTCCAAGGTATGGAACATGATAAAAAGCAATCATAGGTAAGGGATCGAAACCTGGTATCTTCAATCTTCAAAATGACAATGAATAACATTAAACAAATAAATCAGATATTCCTGATAAACAAGAGGAAAATTTTGGCTTAAAATTATTCTTCTAACTATGTACCTTAATTCCATAAAATACCAAAACCAACAGTAAAAGAACACTTTTTAGTTTAAATCAGATGATAGTGAAGATTATAATGAAATATTTTCTATTCATGAGCTCCATACTGCCCTTGGAAAAGTTCATGATACTGCGACGGGAGCTCACAATATCCACTACCAAGTTCTGAAACACTTACCAGAATCATGTTTACAAACACAATTGAACGCATCAGAAGCATGCTTTCAGGCAACTATATAAATTCTGTAAAGAGTACGCATCTTTTTCTGGACTGAAAATAAAGATCGAAAAAACTAAATTAATATGGATAGGCCCGAAGCAACATTCAGGCACACATTACGGTAAATCACTAAATTTGGAGTGGTCCCAGCGACCTTTTATTCTAATGGGGATTCAGTTCAACACAGGCGGAAATGGTTGAACGGAACTATAAAGACAAACTAAAACAAATTGATAGAAAAATTACACTGTAGTCCCTACGAGACCTTACACCTTTTGGTAGAATAATCTTATATATTTGAAAGGGCAAACCTGATAGGATCAAACGTACCACTATTATTCAAACAGATAAACAAGGAGAACTGAAGGTACCACTTATATTAAAAACAATACAAGCTCAAAAGATAACTTGGATACGAAGAACCTTTACCAAAAGTACAAAGCTAAGCAAACTGATTGAACTAATAAACCCATCATGCAACTTGCATCCAACAGAAATGGGATCGAAATACTTAAGAAAAAATATCTTACATAAAATCAAAAATCCTTTTTGGAAATATGTCTATAAAGCATGGTCTGAAATACAGTCACGGCAAACACAGAATTACCAAAACAGTATATATGGGGGAACGATATTATACAGATAGGGCATGAACCAATTATATACAAACACTCCCTAAACGCTAATATCAAATTCATCAATAATCTCATAAAAGATGACGGTACATTCTTTACTTTTAAAGAAATTACATAGGAATATACTTTTAAATCCAATTTCTTAGAATACGCGTCTTATTAAATCCATAAAATATATATGGATTCCAAATATGTATCATTAGATAGCAAAATTGAACAACCATTCATTCCATGTAATTTCAAAGTTCTATATAAAGAAGATATGAGATTTAAAGTATTCCAACTTATTTAAAGAATATGAATTAAAAGAAAAAATATTTCAATTAAAATGGGAAAGAGATATTAACACATAAATACCGAGAGGCATTTGGAGGACTTGCAACTATTTACCATTTACAGCAACAAACAACACGAAGCTAAGATGGTTCCAATACCGTATTATTCACAGAATGTTGACAACAAATAAACATTTGTACAAATATAAATTTGTCACTTCATCAGTTTGTTCTTTTTGCACAACTGAAACTGAAAATATCCTCCATTTACAATTGGAAGGTACACATGTAAAAATGTTATGGCAGCACCTAGTGCAATGGATAGAGAATATAACTGGTACTATACTGAATATGGATAAGAATCACATTATTTTTGGAATTAAAGAAAAACGTAATGACGTCTTGAATTTAATTTATATTGCAACAAAGCAATATATCTTCTCAAAACAATGTTCAAACTCTCCCCAATAATATTACCGAACTTTAAAAAAACATCTCTTAAACCTATATCATGCGCAAAAATATGTCTCGGACACGAAATGTGAATACGATAAAATTGTGACCTTCTCGTCGTCATGTCACAACCTCTTTGCATAACCCTACTGTATCGACAAATGTGCCTATCCAACATGCATTTGATATGTATCACAATAGATTAACTTCATATACTAATATTGACCAACATAATGTAATATACTATTGAAATAACATGTCCTATCTGTATCCAAAAAACATAATAAATAAATAAAGGGATAACAAAAATATTTAAAGAATAAAGGTCTGAAGACTCTGGGCCTATTGAAAGTT